ATCTCTCAGCTTTCCAAATCACTTCTGGAATTTTCTATACGATCATGCGTTCGCAAGTTACAGGCGCTCAAAGTGGATAGTACCTTCTCTCATATGATGACGAATAACTCGGCCAATATAAACTGTACAACAAAATTAAAAAAACGAAATTAAAGAGAAAAGTTTACTTTTTAAAAGTATTCCATTGGAATTACCAGAAAAAATTTCATTTGGCCCATGCATCCTCTCAAACTTGACCAACATTTTTTAACATTCGCTTACTGCGCTTCATCTTAAAAAAAAAGGAACAAACTACATAAAAATAATTTTTGAATTCCCGATTCAAAAACTAGAAACTTCGGGCTACAAAATGCTCTATCACAATCTTTTTTATAGCTATTTTTCGCGAAGATATAGGCATCTGAAGATGACCAATATTTTCGGCAAATTTTAGTGATGCTTTAATTTTGGCGCCCAGTGTAGTAATGTAATTCATCGTAAAATCATATTAAATACGTTTTTCTGTTTAAAGATCAAGGACTTACGATCGCAGTGAGCAAATTCAGTCGAGATAAAAAAATCGCTATCACGGTCGTGAATGAAGTTAAATCACGACCGTGATCGTGATTCGGCAATCACTGTGATAAATCACTGTTGGTGATTTTGCACGCCATCTCTAGAGTCTCGAGCTCGAGTCGCGGTTCAAACCATAAAGGCTCGAACCCTCAAGGTTCGAAGCTTGAGCCGTGAAAGCTCGAGTCTTTAACGCTCGAGCCTTTAAGCTTGAAGGCTCGAGTCGTATAAATTGTATGTAGTGAAGTAATGTACAGACCTTCGGTTTTCGAAGCCTTAAAACTTAACCTAAAAGTTTTCAGTTTTTAACTCTAATATTACACAAATTTCAAGCTTTTAAAGCTTCAAGGGGGAATAATCCAAAAACGTCCTGAAAAGCGTGGTTTTTGTAAATTAGTTCTGCAACACCCAAACCTCATTAAACTATTACTAATAGGGTGATCAAAAATATATTTTGGACAATACGTTAAATTTTCTTTTATTACAAAATACCTATGTATGTATACTTGAGCAAGATATACAAGTCATAGGATGTTACGCGTCGAACAAAATAGTTTCTCAATTTGTTCACGGTTCATTGATCTGAGAGACAAAGTTGGGACATTGTTTTCGTTATTCACGTGATATTCGACCACCGACGAGGTATAGGATAGACCTATTATCTTATGGGACTTGGTGTCTCATGTTCTGAAATACCGATAGTGTAAAAAGTCAGGGATTTTCTGCTGCCCTCTACGTTATGAGAACGGTGAATTTGTGAACTACGTTAAATCCATTCGATCTCAACTAGTCTAACTTCTACAGTGTTGTCGATTCTAAAGTCCGCAATGTTGTCAGCTCATGAGTGTTCGGTACGTCGGAAAATTATCGAAGGGACCATGGTCGTGAACGGATTCTCTTTCGTCCGTTCACTGTAAAGTAGACGTTTTAGAAAGGAGTCTTGCGTTCTAGTCCCGACGGACCTATAGGTTTTTTTTTGCGTACAAAAAAGTTATTGCGCTTAATATTGTTTTTATGAATATGTATATATATTATTATGTACATTTGAGTAAATTATTTTATTATTCCATTGTTATTACAACAGTTTAACAGTGACAACGAACGCATGTATATTTTCAAATATCGGACTAACAGTATATTTCTATTCTATATTATTACATATAAGTGAGTAATACGTATCAAAAACGTAATCGAAACACAGATTTTTATTACATTACAAACAACGCATAAAAGATGTTTCGTTATATTGACATTTGTAATAATTATGGATGTTGCGGGGAAATCTATTGACATTATGGAACATGTAACGAAATATCACTGTAACACTT